ACATATCTGTATATCTATTATGAAATTCAAGGAGTTTTCTTTCAACTGGTGCCATTTTTTTTAACCATGCACATTACATTAACTTGTATAAATTATAATTATTATATTATTATAACATTATATTAATTTGGGATTTTATAGCACTTCCCAGTTGAAGGAGGTGCTAAATAAAATTTATAAATAAATGAAATACTTGTCTTTGAGGGATAATTCCCTGGATCATGTTACAGATAGTCCTTAACTTACGACAGATCACTTAACAATCATTTGAAGTTATGACCGACCTCCCCAGGAGAATTATCACCTGATTTCAAAGTTTTGACAGCTGCACACACATACACACACACCAGTGGTGAAATCCAAATTTTTTTACTATGGGTTCTGTGGGTGTGGCTTGGTAGGCGTGGCTTGATGGCGTGGCAGGGGAAGGATACTGCAAAATCTCCATTCCCACCCCAATCTGGGGCCAGCCAGAGGTGGTATTTGCCGGTTCTCCGAACTACTCAAGATTTCCGCTACTGGTTCTCCAGAACCTGTTAGAGCCTGTTGGATTTCACCCTTGACACACACACTGCAACTGGTATTTGCTTGCGGGTTTTGGCAAAATCATCCCCAAGCAAACCATTGGTTCGTTTAATGACTGTGGTGTTGTCTTAACGACCTCCATTTGATTGTAAAATCAAATCGGACATGTGAGTGACCCATTTTACAACCAGTGTGACTTACCGCTGCGATGGGCAGGCTCCATTACCATTTAATTTTTTTTTTTATTGAAAAGTTTTTTAAAAAGTTTATACATATTTTCCCCCCTCTCCTCCCCCCTCCTGCCCCAACCCTCCCGCCCCCCCGGACTTCCCAGAGCGAATACAGGGTATAGCATGTAACAAACATAAAAAAAACATAAGCTAACTATCTATAGGTTCATCTCCCTCTTGCACTTTAACTCCCCTTGTTCATATCTAAATATAACTATTTAAACCAATTATTGCTTGAAAGTAATCATTCCAACTTCGTTCTTGTCCATTCTTCAATAATAAGCAAGTCTTCTTTCTTCCAGCATTACACAGTCAAAGCCCAGTTACAGTTAACCATCAGATCTTCAACCCTTACATATATTAACACCTTAACAAAATATTTTAACCAATCTCAAATAAAATATATTGTAAATACCTTATTTTTAGTTTTTACCCTATAGACTTATATTAATTCTTCCTGAAAACATTCCTTGCTTAATAGCTTTACATAAACTTATTCATCTTATTCTCTACAAATCCACTACGTATAATTAAATAACATCTTCACTATTTAATATCTATATAAAATATTATCAAAAACCTTCCCTCAACCCTTGCATCATTTATATTTTCCTTATACCCTACAAGTTTATATTTATTCTTCAACAAAGCATTCTTTAATATGGTATTAATGTAATTTAAAACAAAGTATAAAGGTTTAGGTAATATCCTTCTTCTAACCCTTAAACTTATATTGAATGATCTACACTGTCCATAATTTTTACATCCACAATATTTTTCTTTTAATCCATAAACTTATATAAATTCTTCACCAATTCATAACAATTCAACCATAGCATTATTTAATGTAACTTTTCAAAACAAATCATGTCCCTAAATATAGGTAAATCATTCATTTTCACTATAATATAACTTTTCAGAACAAATCATATCTCTAAATACAAGTATAATCATTCATTTTCACTATTACTATCCTCCCCAAAAAAGAGGATTGTAATTTTTCCTTCTCCATTTTTTCCTGACATTTTTGCAAACCCTCTGCTCCAGTCTTTTTCCTCCACCTTCTTCTATTTTTATAAATTCTTGGATTTTTAACAGAAGTTGCTGAACCTTACAATCCTGTTCTCTTTGCAAAGTAATTCCTTTCAGTAAAAACATCTCTTTAACTGCGATAGGAATCCATTTTTGTAAAAAAATTGTAAAGTTCCACTTCGAATCTTCCTTCTTATATAAGAAATCCCAACGCCTCCTGACAATTTTCCGGTTATCTGTATCAAAGCCTCTGAAGAAATGTCTCTCAATATTTCCTGGTTTCGCTCCTTCAAGCCTCTCTGCCTTTCCTTCTTAATTTGAAAAGCCTCCATTTCATTTTCCAAAGGCACATTAAACTGGATTATTTCGTCCACCTCTTCATCCAGCAGCTCCTTATTGTTTGGCAACTGAAACGATACAGTATCTTCACTTGTATCTTTGTTTCGAATTTGTGTAAAGACCTTCTTGAAAAACCCATCCATTCTTTCCACTAACGCGGAGGTAAATGATTCTAAAATTTCATCAGAGATCCACAGTCAGTATTTGTGTATTTACTGATGTATGTAATGGTGAGCCTTCATCACTTTCAAAAAAGCCAGCCATTTTTTTTCCTAATAAAACTTTCACTTTATACTTTTCCAACAACTAGATCAATTTTCCAGTCTTTAAGTGGTACAAGTCTTTTTTGTTTTTAGAAATGATTTTTAAATCCTTCTCCTTTTAAAATAAAATCCTCTTCTTTTAGACAGGGGCTTTCAGCACCACATAATACTTTTTATCTAACTTTCACTTCTCCACACCCTCGTTAGAATCAAACACCATCTTACTTTCCCTTTCTCCCATAGAAAATCAGAGGGAAGTGATAGACTTTTCGGAGTTAAAGTTCAGTACTTGCAGTTTTAGCTTCTCCTGTATTTGCTCTGCCACTTTCAAGTCCAAAATTTTTTTCTTTAAAGTTGAGTTGCTGGGGTGGTCGCGACGTCTAGTTCTGCTTGAAGCAGAAATATCCCAGGTCCGGAGCAGTGACGGGCTTTTCGGGGAGCTCTCACCCTTTAAGCCCCAGATTTAAAAAGAAACCTGGGGCTCTTGGGGAGCTCTACCCACACCCGTCGGCTCTCTTTCCCCCCTTCTCCCAGGGGGAAAGTTTTCAAGCCGCTGAACAGCTGATTTTCGCTGTTCTAGCGGCTCTAACGGAGTCCTGGGGCTGGCGCTCACAAAGGAGCATCTTTCGGCGTCGGCGGAGCCACCGGAAGTCTCCATTACCATTTAAATTTGAGGACTACCTGTATAATATCCTTGAATGTTAATATTGTGAATAGGAGTGAATATATCTGTTACATATTAACCAAACTTTCTGAATCTGTGGGCAGATCTGAACTTTTATGAGCAAACCACTTGGAATTCTCATGAAGTTATAAACCCTCATTTACTAGTTAGCAAGTTGATGAGGCTGTTTGCGACTATCTCTTCTAGTATCCGTGATCACAATCCCTTTCTCAATTTATTTTAATGCTTTTGATGGGGCCATTTCTGTACAAAGGACTAAGCCATATAAACCGCAATATTTTTAAAATAATATCTGTGGGACCTACATAAGGCCCATTTGTTTATTTTTAATTAAAAGAATCCAAAATGTAACATAAGTGAAATAGAGTGTGCAAGATTCACACCTGGAGGGAATTTTACTGGGGTTTTGGACTATAGGTAGTTCTCGACTTACAACAGTTCACTTAGTGACTTTTTGAAGTTACAACGCACTGAAAATAGTGACTTATGACCGTTTTTCACATTTATGATCAGCAACCCCATAGTCATGTGATTTACATTCGGATGCCTGACATCTGACTCACATTTATGACGGTTGCAGTGTCCCAGAGTCACGTGATCGCCTTTTACAACCTTCTGACAAGCAAAGTCAATGGGGAAACCAGATTCACTTAACAATCTTGTTACTAACTAAATTGTAGTGATTCACTTAACAAATATGGCAAGAAAAATCGTAAAATGGGGCAAAACTCACTTAACAAATTTCTCACTTAGCAACATAAATTTTGGACTCAATTGTGGTTGTAACTTGAGGACTACTTGTACTGTAAGTGTCTACAAACTGGAGGTGGGTTTCAGCAGGTTCTGACCAGTTTTGGAGAACCAGTAGTGGAAATTTTGAGTAGTTCAGAGAACCAGTAGTAAAAATTCTGACTGGCCCCACCCCCATCTATTCTCTAACTCCCAAGTTTCAGCTGATCGGGAGGAAATGGGGATTTTGGAGTAACCTTCCTCTGGATTGGGGAGGGAATGGAGATTTTACAGTATCCTTCCCCTGGAGTAGGATGGGAATGGAGATTTTACAGTATCCTTCCTCTGCCATGCCCACCAAGCCACACCATGCCCACTAAGCCATGCCCCACCCACCAAGCCACGACCACAGAACCAGTAGTAAAAAAATTTGAAACGCACCACTGCTACAAACATGATTTTATGCTGCAATATGCATTATGTATTGATTTTGATGCCTTCTATATATGTTAGGCTATAATTTCCATCAAGCCCAGCAATTACGGTTATATCTGGGAAACGCTAAATCAGCTGAAGTTGCCTGTGGCTCACAAACCCGTGGTTTTTGGAAGATGCTATAGTTACATGGTCTGCACATAACCCTAAGCTATAATAAGTGGACATATGCTGAGCCTAATAGAAAGAAGCCACATTATAGCCTTGGGGTCTATGTAAACAAGTCATTGTTTCTGTTCATGCATATTTCTATTCTGCTTGTCAAACACTTAACCAACTAATTCAGATCCCTCCACCCCTCTTGAAGATTAAGGGAAAATATTTTTTGGAAAGACACAGCTCCATTGTTCTGTGTATTCCATCTTTTCAAAAGATGGAATACACCCTGCATGGAGTAAAAGGGTAGATGTGGGCCACCCTTCCATTCATTCAGCCTTCTTCTGCTGTTCCAGGTTGGACTGTCAGCATTACCAGAGGATGACCTTCCTTATCCAAATAGAAAGAGTTTACCCTGTAATCTTCAGTGCTTTTTAAACATGTTCACATCCTCATTAAAACAAGACAAAAATGAAACTAACATTAAAACAAGACAAAAATGAAACTAACATTTTTATATTCCTTTGATGTCTCAAGCCAGCATTTCAAGTTGCGTCCTTCCTGCATGAGGAATAATGTGTGTTTTTAAAAAAATTCTTTCTGCAGAACAGAGGAAGAAGTATTCCAACTTCATTGTGGCAGATGTCTCTCAGTATGCTGTCAATGTAGGTCTTTTTGTTGTTGTTGTTAATTTATTTATTTATTTATTTATTTATTTATTTATTTATTTAATTAATTTCTATACCGCCCTTCTCCTGCGGGACTCAGGGCGGTGTACAGCCAAGATAAAACAAAGCACATAAAATTTAAAACAATTTAAAAAACAATTAAATAATTTTGGCCCAAGTTTAAAAGAACCCAACCCAACCCAATTAAAACCGAATTCAATTAAAAACTGAGAGGATGGGATCAAGCCAGCCCGGCTAGATGGAATAAGTGTGTTTTCAGGGCCCGACGAAAAGTCCGGAGGTCTGATATCGTGCGTATCTCAGGGGGCAGGTCATTCCAGAGGACAGGTGACATTTAGGTTGTGTTGAAGTATGGCCAAGATAGAATTGGGATTGAGACGCTTCAAGAATTGAAGTATGGGAGGTCATCTGTTTCTTGGTTAAGAGATCTGCTAGAATTCCTCCAGAATAATTTTATTGTATTGAGATATCCGAGTAATATCAGTAAGAAATTAGTCAGAGCTAGTTTACTATTTCCCCTTTAATGATAGTGGAAGACCTGAACAAACTTTTTCCAAATCTAAAATAAAATACAGTTGGGGTTAATATGCACGAGCACATTAGAAGCCAGATTAATTATCATCTACTAGCATCTACTAAGGCAGTTCATGCTTCTATCTTCAATATGTAGTTTGGAGAATATAGGATCATGACATCGTATTAGTCTCCAATACTATAAACTGGCTAGTTTTTCAAAGTGAAAAGGCTGCATTAAGGTGTTTCAAATAGCTGCTACATTTGCACTCTTACTTACATCTTGGTCTTGGTAAGATGTTGAGGTTTCCTGGACCATATGGAAACTAATGAAATAGATGAATAATAACACTAATGGCATATAATGGATCTGCTTGTATCTCTCTCATGTCTATATACTCCAGCACCTGGTGACCTTCTCCATTGGGGAAGAGGATGATTTGACATCTGTGGAGGATGCTATCAGAAAACTATGCATCATGGATAAGCAAGGGAAGATCTGGGTTCAGGAGATGTTGCTCCAGGTCAACGGGTCAGCTATCAAGCTCCTTGACATAAACTCAAAGGTGCAGAAAGTTACCCAGAGCAGCAATGCTGGGAAGCTAATGAAGTTTTGGGGGAGAAATGGCTGTTACTTATGTCCCAATCCCTCTTCTCTGGAAAGATTCCATATTAGATTGATGTCCTTGATTGACTTTCTTTCCCCCAATAGGAGGAACTGGAGAATTATGCATTGGCAACGGTGGCTTATTGTGATGCTGTCTGCCCTGAGTCCCGTTCCCGATCCTTGCTTGTACTCATGTGCCAGGAAACTACTCAGCTCAGACCGGATATTCACTTCTTTGAGTGTGAACAAATTAGGGTAAAAGAATTGAGTCTATCGATCCACAAAGAATGTTTAGAGAATGATCCTATGTAATTACTCAATTCTACTAATTGCAGAAAATTTATTTGGCATGGGGATGGCAACTATTCAGTGGCTGGGGGCTGCAGTCAACTTTCATAGGAAAGACAAAATTCATAGACGGTGAGGCCATGCCATGTACAGGGGAGGTACTGGGATTCTTCCTCCTCTTTTTAAAACTATGTTAAAGAGGAAATTCTACTTCTGATGTCCTAAAGATGCTTTTTCAAGATGTTTCACTTCTCATCCAAGAAGCTTCTTCAGCTCTTCAGAAGCTAAAGAAGCTTCTTGGATGAGAAGTGAAATGTCTTCAAAGAAAAACAAGAAAGTCCAATTGCCTCTTGAAAAAGTACCTTTGGGACAACCATGACCTGGATGACTGAGAATCTCCATAGACATTTAGTTATCTTCTTCTGAGGTTTGACTGCTGTGTTTTTAAGGGTCTGAGAGTTATAACATGGTGCCTGTAGGCAGTTCAGAATCCTGAGCTTGCCCAGCCCTGATCTACACCATGGGGATTTGGGACAAGGGAAGAGTTCTCAACACATCTTTAATCTGGTTTCTCCTCCACTTGGCAGGCGGAATGGATCCAGCAAGACATCAGCAGTGCTCTGCTGGATTTCAACACAGGAGGAAATACGCAACGGATGGAAGCCTTGAGGTAAATGCACAGCCTAAGACCCATGGCTGTGATGGGACAGCTTCAAAGAGTCATTAAGTCTCATTAGTTATAAACAACAAGTCAAGTCTGAGAGTTATCAAAGACAGGGGTGAGAAACTATGGCCCCTTGATGACCTGCGGACTTCAACTCCCAGAATTTCCATTGCTCAGCAAGGCAGGTGTTCAGTGAGCCATGCCCAATTTTATGCCACAGTTGTTAAGCAAATCACTGAAGTTGTTAAGTGAATCATTCAGTCCTTAAGTGAATCTGGCTTTTCCCATTGACTTGCGACTTTACTTGTGAAGGTCACAGGTGGTGAGCCTGGACACTGAAATTGTCATAAATACATTCTAGTTGCCACCACCTGAATTTTGGTAATGTGACCTTGGAGATGCGGCAATGGTTGTAAATATGAGGGCTGGTAATAAGTCACTTTTTAAAATGCCATTGACACTTTATGAGCCACAGTGTGCAGTGGCAGCCAAAAAAGCCAATGCAATCCTAAATTGCATTAACAGATGGATACAATCAACATCAAGTGAGGTACTGAAACCACTCTATAAAGCCTCAGTAAGACCACACTTAGAATCCTTTATCCAGTTTTGGTCGCCATACTATAAGAAAGATGTTGAGACTCTAGAAAAAGTGTAGAGAAGAGCAACCAGGATGATTAGGGGACTGGAGACTAAAACATATGAAGAACAGTTGCAGGAACTTGACATGGCTAGTCTAGTGAAGAGAAGGACCAGGGGAGACACGATAGCAGGGTTCCAATATTTGAGGGGCTGCCACAGAGAGGAAGGAGTCAAGCTATTTTCCAAAGCACCCAAAGACCAGGCAAGGAATAATGAATGGAAACTGATCAAGGAGAAATTCAACCTAGAAATACTGTAAGGAGAAATTTTCTGACAGTGAGAGCCGTCAACCAATGGAACAGCTTGCCTTCAGAAGTTGTGGGTGCTTCATCCCAGGAAGTTTTCAAGAAGAGACTGAACTCCATGTGTCAGAAATGGTATCGGGCCTCCTGCTTGGGTGGAGGGTTGGACTAGAAGACCCACAAGGTTCCTTCCAAACTTTGTTAATCTGTTAAATCTGTTAAATGGTTGTTAAATGAAAATTGTAAATTGAGGATTACTTGTATCCGGACTAGCCGTGCCATTTTCCTTTGTACAGCAACTTGCTTTGCAGATTTTGAAATGAACAGGAAATTTTTTCATGTTACCTTCATGCCAAGAAAAGCTCATGTGCTACATTTCTGACTGGCAGGCTGCTATAGAATACATAGACATACTTTGAATTGGGGGAAAAAAACCTTCCTGGCCTTATAGGAGGGAGGATAGAAACTAATCAAGGAGAGAAGCAATCTAGAACTGGCCTAATTTTCTCTCCTTTCTTTTAAATTTTTAAACTGAAATTTTAATTTGTTTTAAATTATTGGGATTTTTAATTATCTTGGGTTAAATTATTTAATTTGGTTTTAAATTGTTTCTAACTTTTGTATTTATGTATTTTATTCTGTGCCTGTTCACCGCCCTGAGTCCTTCGGGAGTAGGGCGGTATATAAATTTAATAAAACATAAAACAAACAAACAAACTAGAACTAAGGAGAAATTTCCTTAGTTCCTTAATTTCCTTAGAACCAGTAGGATGGCTTGCCTTCAGAAGTTGTGGGTGCTCCAACATTGGAGATTTTTAAGAAAAGTTCGGATGACTATTTGTCTGAAATAGTATAGGGCTTCCTGCTTGAGCAGGATCCCTTCCAAGATCCCTTCCAATTTTGTCATTCTGTTAATCAGTGACCAATGGGTCATGGGTTGTCTAGATACCTGTTATAGATTCTTATGTTGCTGACTGAATGGTATGGAATGTTATACAAATCAGAAGCCAACGTGTCTCCCTGGGGTTGAATATAACTCCAGAATTGCTTTTGAGCATTTCCCTCCCAAACAATGTATTCATTTCCCATTGTTTTGATCAGGAAGAGCTTGATTCTCACATACAATACAATATATACAATAGAAAGATCCCCACCCTCAAGCTCTAGAGCAAGTGTCTCCAAACTTGGCAACTTTAAGAAGGGCGGATTTCAGCTCCCAGAATACCCTAGCCACCATGCTTTAAGATGAGTGGATTTCAAGTCCCAGAATTCTCCAGCCAGCATAGTTTTAAGACTTGTGGACTTCAATTTTAAGACACAGCTTTAAGACCTGTGAACTTCAACTCCCAGATTTCCCCAGCCAGCTATGATATGGGATTCAACTATGGCAGCTGAAGACCACAAATCTTATAATTGCCAATTTTGGAAACCCAAGTTTGGAGCAAAAAAGATCCCATCCCTACTTACATAGTCTTAGCAATGTTGCAATATTGTCCCACTTACTATGTCCCAGAAGTCCCTTCAATATAATTGATCCTCAGCCTACAAAATATTGCCCATCCCCAGCCTGCAAGTTATACAGGTCAAGTGTAAGATGGAAAGGAGATTGCATTATCCACTGGAAATCAGTCTTTCTCTTTGGATCTCAGACTCTATGTTTCTTGTTTACAGAGCTGCCCAAAACATGCTTGATAATCAGGAGGTCTTCTCTCAGCCTCCTATGCAAGTTCCTTCTAGGACAAAGATTGTTGCACCAGGGCCAAGAGAAGATGGTAAGGACCTTAGGCTAAGCCCCACAAGCTTTTATGGAGGAGGATATTTGGAGAAGAATTAGAACTCCTTAGCAAAATATATGTTATCCATCTAGGTGGTCTTTAAGGCCATTTTCTAGCATTTCCAGTTAAGTGGCTATTGCCCCAAAAGACTATTGCAGTTTAGAAGAGATTACAGGCTACATCCACCAAGTTTCTAGCATAGCATTAAGGAGTTTCCTAGCTTCGTATATTAATTGACTTTAATGGGACCTTCTTCTAGAACAGCTTGCAAGAAGTCATGTTGCACCCCTATATTTTTTACTTTCTGTTTGAGTTGCAGGGAACAATCCAGGAATCCTTCCCACCAAGAGCATTTCAGCCACAAATAGGCCTGTCTAAATCTTTGTCTGGTCCCTTCACAATTTGTCTGTTTGGGTTTTTTTTCCTTTTCTTTGACTAAAATAAGCCTGGTATTCAAGATCCCTCCCAAAAACTGAAACCATTGGCCTCATTCTTAAGGTTGATGCCATGGCACTGTTGCACACCCTACTCATCAGAGACCAAGAGCAGGGAAGTGAGCTTCCTCATACTGCTCATATGATTGTGGGAGTCCCAGGAGACGACATAGCTGCATAGTCTTTGCCTGCCACTGGGCTCTTCAAGACAGATTAATCTTACTCTTTGTGTCCCAGCAAAATGTAACAATCGTGTCTTAAACTTTTCATTTTCCCCCCCTGTTTCCAGCCATCTTGATAGGGGAACCTGATCTGGCCATCATCCAAACAGAGCAAAATGTGGTGAGTTAAATGGGAAGATTAATTGTTGCTGTTGGCTTTTATATAAACGAGATTTGGAGAAGGGGATAGGGAAGCAGAGATGGTCATCCACTTAATGACCATGGCATTTGCTTAATGGCCACAAATTCACTTAATGACCCCTACAAGAAAGATTGTAAAATTGGGCCAGTCACATGATCGACCTGTTTTATTACTGTTATGAGTATGACAGTGATGGACAGGCTCCATTATAGTCATAACTCAAGGACTTACCTGTAGCAAGTTTAAAAAGTGTGACAATGAAACTAGCAATCACAGTACAACAATCAACAAGTGTCCCTACTCAAGGAGCATCCAAATTCACTTTATTTCCCAAAGACCTTTCAGATGAGCCATGCTCTCATGTCACTTATTCCTTGCTCAGTACAAACAATTCCCCCCCCCCCATTTTCTCTATTGCCTGTGTGCCTCTGACAGGAACTGCTGAACCGAGTTTTTGATGATGTGGAAGCCTTCGTCAGAAAGCTGCAGAAAGCTGCAGAAGCTTTCCGTGTCCTGAATCAATGCAGGCGCTCTGCGAGAGGGCGCCTTCGAGAGCCAGGAGGTGAGACAATTGGCTGGGAATGCAGAAGGCAGTTAAAGAAGCAGGAAATGTTTCTAAAGCCTGTCCCAATCAGAATCTTTCTGTGAGTTCTAACTCCGCCTCCAGAATGATTCTAGAATTTGCGCCTCCCATCGGTTGGAGATGTACAACTGAGGAGATCAGGAAAAAACCTTCTCAGTGGTGGCCCCTTCCTTATGGAACATCTTTCCCCTGGGGTATGATGGGGCCCAGTGGTGGGATTCACTTACCTTTGCTACTGGTTTGCAAATGTGAGAGTGCGCTCCGCACATGCACAGAGTGTCAAAAACGGGACGTGATGACATCTGGGCAGGTGGGCGGAGCCTCCCACAACAAGTTTACCGGAACCAGATAGAACTGGCTAAATATTACCACTGATGGGGCCTTACCCTCTTGCTAAAAAGGTGTTAAAATTGTTACCTCGGTCTGGGGACCACAAAAAGAGATAGGCCAATCAAGTTGCTGATTTGATTGTGTTGTTGCTGCCGTGTGTGTGTGTGTGTGTGTGTGTGTGTGTGTGTGTGTGTGTGTTTTAAAATGGATTTTTATTATACAACATAAAATGTTGGATGGTGATATAAATGTGTTTAATAAATCAGTGAAAACAAATAAATTTGTCATAATCCACAAAATTCCACTATGGCTTGGAAACTTTTCCCTTCCATCATGGGCCTCTGCAATGAATCTCATGACAACTTCAGAAATGCCTCCTGTAGTTGCATTATTCTTTGTTTTTGCACAAGTCAAATGAGCTTCTTCCCCAAAAAAGTTTTTAAAGCCACTAGTTCTAAAAGACAAATCCAAGGCCTACAAACATAATTAGACTACTATAATGGGCAGTTATTCCTGCATCGAAATGGTTGAGCTGTTCTGTGTAGTAGAAGATATCTGGAACCACAAGCTTTGATCTTCTCGATCCAAAAAAAGATTTGAGTCTTGGGGCTGGGACTTCACCAGTCCCCAAAATAGATGGAATTGCAGGGAGATTTTTACTGTTTCTTTCTTTACCACAACCACAGAGGGACTCTTAACCATCAGAGCAAAAACCCCATCCCAAGAGGAGTTTGAAGACGCTCTGTCCAAAATCAAATATTCCTTTAGCCTTCTGGTGAGTTTTGTGTAAACTTTTTCCTCCCAAGGAAATGGAAGGTACCTCCTTGGGTTATGCCTACAACTAAATTATGTTTTCTTTTCCACCACTTAGGCAAGGCTGAAATCAAACATCACATGCCCTACTTCAGAGGAGCTAATATGTATTCTTTTCAAACCCTTGAAGATGGTAAGTGCTGGGTTGAAGAAGAAGAGAAGTGTCTGGTAGCTGAATTAGTAATAGTGTGTTTCTCGATCTTGCATCTCCCAAATGTGTAGATTTCAACTCCCAGAATTCTCCAGCCTATATGGACATGACTTAGAATTCCGGGAGTAGCCAAGGTTGGGAAACAATAGACTGATAAAATGTAGAGGGGCAATTGGATTGTAAAACCAGAAGAATGACATGAAACTATGCTTAAGGGACGTTTGATTACAGTTGAGCCCAACATTTCTGTTGCTAAGTGAAACAGTTGTTAAGTGAGTTGTGCTCCATTTTATGATCTTTCTTGCCACAGTTATTAAGTGAATCACTGCAGTGGTTAAGTTAGTAACACCGTCATTAAGTGAATCTGACTTCCCCATTGACTTTGCTTATCAGAAGGTCGCAAAAAGCGACCACAGGGTTCTGGGATACTGCAACTGTCATAAATATGAACCAGTTGCCAAATGTCCAAATTTTGATCATGTGATCAAGGAGATGTTGCAATGACTTTAAGCATGAAAACACAAGTCACTTTTTTCAGTCCATTGTAACTTTGAATGGTCACTTAGTGAACTGTTATAAACTGAGGACTACCTATATATATTATTTAAGTAACAAATGTGAACTGTGAAACTGAATTCCATAGGATAGGGGAGAATTCCTGCACCGCAAAAAGCAAGTAGGTTAATATGGGACCCTTTCTTTAACATGCTTCGTTTCTGTATTCTTTTTTTTTTTTCTGTAATAAAATACTTTGGGCTTCAGTTTCATTAGTTGCAGAGCTGTGTAATATAATCCATGAAAAGCTTTATCATGAGATTAGATTGCAGATATCAGTGATTCCTAAATGAGTGTTTTGGTAAATTTCTCTGGGAGAAGATGGAGCCTCCAGGGGAACAGATAATCTGGATTCCTATTCTCATTTCCCATTTCAGATTGTGGATTCTTCTGGGGGTGTGGAATTTGCTTCTGAATTGCGCAATCCCATGATAACTCTAGAGGCAGTGTCTTTGATGAGAAGCTGCTTAGGAGACTGGGAAACAGAACTCTGGCATTCTCTGGGTGAAAACTGGACTAAGCCCAGGTAAGGGGATTTGGGTTTGTTTTCCCTTGTTATAATTTTTGCCCTCTTAACTTCTTTTCCCTATAGGATGTGATTTAATCCATTCACTTCCACTTCTTCCTTCTGCATTTTCTAACTCTTACAATTTCCTTATTTCTTTCTTGATGCTATTGGCCAAGGGTCTCCAAATTTGGCCACTTTAAGACTTGTAGACTTCAACTCCCAGAATTCCTCAGCCAGCCATGCTGGGACTTCAAGTCCACAAGTTTTAAAGTGGCCAAGTTTGGAGACCCCTGCTACTGGGTATTTAATTTTGGTGAAATAGCCTCCTCTGCCTCTCAAGTGAAGTGATATCACAGATGATCTGGATCCACAAGCAAATTACTTAATAAGGATTGGAAACTTTGGAATTTGAATTCCAAAATCTTCTCCAAGATATTAGACCAATTCATTTATGACATAAATATGGTGGATCTGTTGTAGATTGGTTGACAGCTGTTGCCTGGGTGGTTTATTTAACTTGCACTAATTAAAATGTGATGACTTTGGCTCCTTCCTTCCAATTCACATTATTCTTATTATTTGCTTTATCCATCAAGGGTGGATTTCCCCAGGGGCTATGCAGCTCCCTACCACCTAATTTTTTGCAGTGACTGGAAGCCTCCTATCCAAGATGCTTTTGGGAAACCTTGGGAAGACCCAGTGGAGATGCAACACCGCCATGAAGAACGCCGTAACCAGGTCAGTGTTGTGATGAGGAGAACATAAGCTTGCATTCTGAGCAAGGGAATGACTATAAAAGGTTCTGCAGCTACTTGGAACAGTTGAAGAAGTAGATTATCTTTGCCTATATTATATGCTGCAGGTGTTGATTGATTTTGTGCCAACAATATATCTTCTCCAGGAGGATCAATCTCCAACTTGGTCCTTCAAGTCTTCTAATAGCACACCCATTGCCACTGTAACTGAGTCCATCCTTCTTGGTACTGGTCATCCTCTCCTTGTCTTTCATTTTCCCTTTCCCTTTCCCAACTCTATAGACTTCGGTGTATCCATTTTGTTGAATTTCAAGCAAAAGGTCATTGTTGGGCAAGCAGCTCATTTAGTACCAAATGTCTGAAGTACAGAAGTCCATTTTATTTGCACCATTGGATGACTTTGGAGGTTAAATTGGCAAAAGGACTTCCACAGATGTAGGATATTTAGAGTATTACGTCTGTGGTTGTCCGAGGGCCTTCCTTGCCTCAGCTCTAGGATGGGCTGTTTACAATTGGAGGACATATTCATACAATAGAGCAGGGGTGTCAAACTCAATTTCATTGAGGGTCACATCAGGGTTGTGTTTGACCTCAGGGGGCCTGGGTAGGCGTGGCCAGGGTGGGCATGGCCAGCTCGACGTCACTCGTGTTGGGGGCACCTGTGGTGGCCCAAGCGCTCTGCCAGTGAAAGCAGGTTCCTGAGCTCCATTTTCGGCTGTGACGGCCTCCTGCAACCCTCTGCCAGCAAAAACAGAGCTCATGAGGCCTCCCAAACTCCATTCTTCGCTGGCAGAGGCACCGCAGGCTGGTTCTTTACTGTTTCCAAGGCAGCCCCATGGACCAGATCTAAGCACCCCACAGGCCGAATCCAGCCCCCGGGCCTTGTGTTTGACACCCCTGCACTGGAGTGTCCATTTTAGGATCAGAAAGACGAAGAGATCCAGCAGGAAAGTAGTGTTTTCCAGGATGAAATGGAACTAAAACTTCTCTGTTGCAAAGAGCAAAAAACCAAAGGAAGCAGAGCTCCAATTGGCCCACTGCATGACTATCCCACCCTTCTCTCGCATATTATGTTTTGGCTGCTGGAGAAAACAAAACCTAAGCAGCCTCCATAAGCCCTCCCTGGTCCATAGTCTAACATGTTTATTATTATTTCTCTATTTATTTAAATTTATAAGTTTGCCCAACTCCACAGTGACTCTTGGCTTACAACTATAAAAACACACCATATAACAAAAAAACACCTCCGCCCTGCATATCCCCTTGCATAAAAAATCTAACTCAACAGACATTATCCTATAAAAATTTGTCACTCACTTTAAGACTTGGGGGAAAGCTATGTTTGCATGATCTTTCAAATGAGGGCAGGTTAGGAGCTCTGGGATCTTCAGGGAGAAGCTATTCCAGAGGCAAGTGGTATGACAGAGGAGGCCCACCTCCTGAGTCTCATCAAATGACATTGTTTAATTGGGAGGATTCGGAACATGCCAAATTAACTTTCCAAAGGTTCATGTAGCCAGCCTATGCCTTCTCGGTGGCCAGTCATATGCTTCTGGGAAGCATGCATATTTACTGGATTGCTCATTTTTTCAGAAAAAGGGATAGGCTATAGAAGAATAGGAATATCACTTAGACTTATATACCGTTTCACAGTGCTTTACATTACAGCCCTCTCTAGGCAATTTACAGAGTCAGCATATTGCCCCCAACAATCTGGGTCTTCCTTTTACCAACCACAGAAGAATGGAAGGCTGAGTCAATCTTGAGCTGATGGGGATCGAACTCCTGGCAGTGAGCTGGATTAGCCCGCAATACTGCATTCTAACCACTGCGCCACCTGGCTTCATGCATTCTTGAATACTTCAGGAACATGTGTGATGGTATATAGGAAAGAGAAGAGAAAGATTTTTAGCCTAGACAATGGATCTTCCTCCTGTTTTCCAAGATCATTCAAAATTGAGACTCTGGAAAGAGTGCAGAAAAGAGCAACAAAGATAGATGATTAGGGGGCTGCAGGCTAAACCATGGAATAAACCATATTCCAATATTTAAGGGGGTCTACTATTTTCCAAAGCACCAGAAGGGAAGAGAAGAAGCAAGGGATGGAAACTAATCAAGGAGAAGCGACCTAGAACTAAGGAGAAATTTCCTGATTGTTAAAATAATTAACCAGTGGAACAACTTGCCTTCAGAAGTTGTGAGTGCTCCATCACTGGAGGCTTTTAAGAAGAGACTGGACAGTCACTTGTCTGAAATGAAATACTATAGGCTCTCTTGCTTGAGCAGGGGTTGGACTAGAAGACCTCAAAAGTCCCTTCCAACTTTGTTATTCTGTTCTGTTCATTCCCACATACCACCAGAGAACGCTTGAGGAAATAGCTTTGAAATAGTTGCTTAGACTAACAATTTTATGAACAGATAAGTCCCCCAACTTTGAAAGAATAGCCATAGTATATTCTTTAAAAATTAAGTGTTTTTCCAGCCCAAACAAATGGAGGTTCTAGTTCACTTAAAACTACCAGTAGTTCCAATTATACATTCTGTATAATTCCTGTCCATGAACTGGAGGGGGAGTTTGAGAAAGAGTGACTTATGATGGACCTAAACTAACTTTACTGTTTCTCTATTTGCAGCAATCGGCTCCCACAATTGCAGCCAATGGGTAAGATATTGGTGAACATCTTGAGAATGGATTGGTTATTTGGGGAGATAAATGGGGAGTTTGGAAGAGAGGATTAGCATTTAGAATTTAAAGAAAAATTAAAAAGGAAGGTTGGGAAAGAAGGATTTTAATGACTAGGGTGGGATTGCCTGGAGAATTAGTTTCCACTCCTACACCTCTGCACGCCTACATATATATTACCGCTTATAAAATACAATTTTAAAATTAACTTCCAATGCAGGAGCATAAAAAAAGTGGCCCAGACTGTATTGTATAAAGTATTGCCCCTTTATACAATAGTCCTTGTTTAGTGACTGCCTCATTTAGTGACCACTTGCAGTTACGATGATGATGATAACTTTATGACCAGTTCTCACATTTATGGCCTTTTCAGGACTGTAAAGCAAAGGAAAACTGAAGTAAGATCATAAGCACCATTTCACTTAGCAACCATTTCACTTAATGACCAAGTTGTCCATTCCAATCCTAAACAAGGACCATCTGTATATGTGTTATACATAAAAAGGAGCAGTACTTTGATGGTGCATCTGCAGTTGCCAACTTGGCTTTTCTGAACAACCCCAGCAGATGACCCGGATCTGAAGAATCGTATCTAAGATGTAGGGACTTTCAAAGAGTTGTGGAGCCATCTCATAATGCAATATTTGTATGAATTCAAAGACTGGTCATTCTAGACCAGGATTGCGTATCCTATGAGTTGCAACGGTAGGCCAGAATGAAAGGCCGAAACAGCAATTCCTAATTCCTGGTGCATGAAATCTTTTAAAGAGGAAGTAAAGAAATTGAATATTTGGGACGTGCAGAATGCATGCAATGTCGGAGAATGTAGAGCTTTTCCACTTCATTAGATGAAGAAGTTCCAAGTTCTGGCTTCCTCAATCATGGTCATCACGCCCAGTATAATCACTATTGTAGCATTAACAAAACTAGTATGAATCAAATAATATGTGCTGGGGACACAATTCCAGTCCCTTTCCTGATCCCACTGGGAAGAGAACCTTAGAGGAGGAATGAAAGGTTGATGCAGGGTAAGATTAACATTTTAGGAGTTGGGGTTAGATGTGCAAGGATTTGTCATGGGCTCTTTAGAAGTTGGTGATCAGATTGGATAAATTGGGTAAAGTGTTTGAACCTTTAGGAGTTTTTCTCAGATTGAAAATTGTGAGTCGTTTATGAAATGCTTAGGTCAATTCTACATTGCTTTCTCCCCCTTTTCTTTCTTCTTTTTCTAAAAACCTATTTTTCTATTTTTCTCTATCTGTTTATCTTGGCTCTGGGAATAGCTGGGTCCGGTGGTAAAGCCAAGGATAGGAGCTAGCTAGGGAAACGGTGGTGGTGGTAGGGCACTCAGAAGCTTAGTTTAGGGCAGGTAATGGTGTGTTGCAGTTAATAATTGCAGGTTCTTGCCAGGGTGAAGGTGCTTTTGGTGATCAGCAACCATTAGATGTTGAGCAAGGACTTCAAATTGTTGTCCTGAATCTGAATTTACAAGTATTGGTAGCTAGGAATCCAGTTGGCCCACCATGGCTTCAAAGAAGGAGGGCCTCTGAACACAGAATTTGATAAGTGACATAAAATTCCACATCAAGACTTTTGTATTTCAGTCGTTTCAATTCTTTGTGCTCTTTTAAGAAATACTTTTATCTATTTATTATTGGATAGTAAGAAATAATTGAGAAGTTGTTAGAATGAATATTTGTGGCATAGCTTCCAGAACTTGTAAGTTCCTTCTCTCTTGGTTCTCTAAATTCATTTATCCTAAGATCTCAAGAGTCTTGATTCTTGCCAAGATCAAAAAGAGCCAAAATATTCTGGCATGTCAATCTTCACTCAATTTATTGATATTTAATCTGTTCTGTAATGCTTTGAATTGAGCTATGCCGACAAATGACGTCTGTATTCCAAATGTTATTTTAACTATCTCTCAGTCTAAGAATTATATCATGATTAGGTTAACAAGGATTAGTTGTCTAAGGAAACGGGATTAACTGTTAAAATTAGTTTTTAAAGTTTGTAGCATAGATAAGCACATAATGACTTACTCAAGAGCTAAGAATAAGTAAACTAACAAAAGATGTACCAATTGTAGAGGCCTCGAATTAAACTAGTTAAGCACTCAATGGAATTTCCTTCCTACTCTTTTCATGCACATATGCATACATTCTGATTAACTTATTCATATACACACATATGCAAATATGAGGAAGCACCTAATAATCAATTCATAACGCAGCAGGGAAGAAGGGGAATCTCTCATAGTTCTCAAAATAAATTAAAACCAGATGACTGTTTTGTAGTGGTACTAGAAATTCTGGATATGACCAGCTATACTTGAGTGCAAAGATAAAACTAAAAGTTTCAATGTGTCACTGAAATAATCCTTGCTGGTAACCTCTCCCTTTTTTTAATGCTTAGAATGGAGAGGTCTCTGGCTTTTTTATACCCTGGAAAAGGAGCTAAAACACACCCATGCTAAATATAAACAAGTTTAAGGCCAATGAAATAGCTTTCCCAAAAGATAACTGGGAAACATGGTACCACAGAATTGGTGAAAATTTTTAGTTAAATTCTGGGCCACGTAATGTGTTTGCCCTGTGGGACAACTCTGGGAAGAAAGAAAGAAAGAAAGAAAGAAAGAAAGAAAGAAAGAAAGAAAGAAAGAAAGAAAGAAAGAAAGAAAGAAAGAAAGAAAGAAAGAGGAAGCAGCTAGTAAAAATGGGCTGCTATAAGAAGGCAGAATTGTTGTTTCTGCATATAAGAGCTCATTTTTATAGCTGTGCCAGGGAAATGAGCAGCTAAAAGGAGAAAAAAACCTTAGAAGAATGGAAAGACAATCAATAGTTTCTCCTGTTAGGAGTGTATGTGTGTACATGCACACATACACAAGCATTAGTGTTTCCCCTCCTTTTCCCTACCACTTGGTAGAGTTAGCATTCACCAATTTTGTTGTATGTTGGGAATAGACCCCTCTCAAAAACTGAATAACAGATAGCTGTTATCTTCAAATAGGATCACACAGTGTTCATACTAATGCCCAACTACCCGTATGTTTATAGTGTAATTTGCCTACCCTTTGTCAAAGTTGGATGATCATGAACACAAAGCCAGTTTGGTCTAGTGGTGAAGACACCAGGATAAAAACCAGGAGACTGAGTTTTAGTCCTGCTTTAGGCATGCAAGTTGAGTTCCAGTCCCACCTTAGGCATGAAAGCTGGCTGGCTGCCTAAAGCCAGTTACTCACTGTCTCTCACCTCAATTCACCTCACAGGTTTTTGTGAGGAAAATATGAGGAGGAAGCAGTAGTAGTTGTATTCGCCACGTTTAGTTATTTATAAAAATAATATCAATAAAAATTCTTGTAACATTTTCAGGTAATATTTCCAAACTAGGTTTCATGCTGCAAAACCTAATTGATTCCAATTTCTAGAATATCCCCAACATATGCCTTACAGTCTAAAAAAAACAAAAAACAGTGTCTGTGTGCAGATTAGAAAGGCTGAGCCCAGTTATGCAACTGAAGACTACAAGTTTCACCTAGTAAACATTGCAAGATTTCCAGTTTTTTTGCAAGGAATGTAAAATGAGACAAAGCAGTTCTTTTTTTTAAGCCGGTACCCTAATGATGCAGTTTTGTTTGGTACCAACTCTTATGGAAGCGAGGCCCACCTGACTCTCTCACTGTTGGTGAGGATCACTTTACAACTGTCACATCTTATGAAGAGGCTCTATTATGGTCGTAAGTCGAAGGCTACTTGTACCTGGTGTTTTCCCTCCATTTTATCCCGTGACAGCAATCTTAGTAGGAAGGTTTGGATGAGAGAAAATTATTGGCAGAAAAATAAAGTAGAACCTGGGTCTTCTCACGCCAAGTTTTACCTCATGCTGTCTGTGATGCACATCGCCTTCCCAATAGTTCTCTGAAAATGTCCCCGTTCTCCCTTGTGTTAATATGAGTGTGGCTGTGGTAAAAAGCACACTCTGATATTGGCCAAGCTATACCTTAATTCTTTCGCGGTCAAACAGTGTGCAGTAAGTTCATAATGTACAGGAGCAAAGAACAAAAGAACAAAGCAATAGCACAAGGAGCAGCTCAAGAGAACATAGGGAACCTTTTATCCCTTGGAGGCCCAGGGAGACAGGGACTTGGCAGGGAACCAATGAACAAAAGACCAATGCCAGCCCTTTCCCTGGAGAGAAAAAGAGAGGAAGGAAACTTGGATCTCCCAAGAAGTCCAGGAGAATAAAGTAGAGCACCAAGACTAGGGAGACTAGATTATCTTAAAAGAAAATGGAGTGTGTTCACGCAGAACAAGAAAGGGAACTCGGTTCTTTTCTCCTCTGCTGACGTCTGAACTGGATGAGACTCTGATGCATGGGAGCAAAGCAATTAGGGGAACAGCTCTGAAAGCAGGAAGAAAGTTGGAGGAGAGGCAGAGAGGTATGAGAATGTTCCAGAAGGCAAGAAGCAAGAGTCAGAGACCAGGTATTTTGGTGGTGGGCGTAGAAGAGAAACATAACAGGACAAAAATGAGAAGACAACGGTTTAAAGAAAGATGGCGCCCAGAAGAAAACCAAGAGGGGGACAGTAGCCAGCTAGTGAAGGTAGGATTGGAGTGGGGTGGGAATTGGGTGTCTCCTTTTCTTTTTCTTCTTGAATTCCTATCCTTCTCAGAACCAGTTTGCAAGATGGGTGTCCCAGCCAGTCCAGCTCTGATCCTCATAAAATCTAGCTGGAAGAAGGATTGCAGATACTGTAGATGGTTCAGGGTGTCTTTTCTGGTAGGAAATGCCACTTATTATAAGAAAGAGGCAACTGGTGTAAGCTAATATCTCATTTTGCCCTTTCCTGGTCATTATCTATTCCTTCCTTCTATATCACATTTTTTCCCCTATTCTGTAATTGGGCAATCTCTGTGAAACTGAGCGTGACCAGAGTTGGTCATTTTGCTACTGTGATGTGCTAATTGATGGTAACCCCTAGCCATCTTGCAATCTTTTTTCACATCATTTTTATTGGCTGGATGCATGAAATTTAGGATGAATAGACACACAATGACATTACCCCCTAAACCCAGCATATATTAAATAAAACCTACATGAAACAAGAGAAGTCTAAAGTTGAAATAAAAATAGGTAATCTGTTTAAAATGAGCTGCATGACTTAAATTGAAATGCAATCGCACAATGCCCAAATCCAATATCAGTGTCAATTTAAGATATTGAAGGAAGCGCTAGATATTTATATTCAGTTCAATAAAACAGAAATTACCACTATTAACTCTGTATTTGGGAGTTACCCTTTCATTCTTTATTATACTTACACATCTAGATTAAAATGGCATGATGTAAATAATATTTCACAATTCATTTACTAACACTAACAACTATTAACTAGATTAACCCTTATTTATTAACATTTAAAATGTTTAGTAGCTTAATTAGTTGATGACACAAGGATTGGCAATCATGTCATCCCATTGACCAAACTGCTTCTGCTCACTTCTGTAACTCGTCCTTGTCTTTGCTGTGATGTAGACCAAGCTCTATTGAAATTTTCAGGACTTCTGGGCCTTTAATTAAAAGTTTCCTTCTTTTGGGTTCTTTGTAATGGATCAGCTTTGTTACCTGTCAAGAGCAAAGTTGCTTAACTTTTTATTATTGTTTCTTAGTCTTTGTATTTTTCTTGTTCAGTAGCACAATTTCACTTTTTTAAAAAAAAAAGTGCACTGCTTTAATTATGCTGACAGTTGTAGAAGAACAGAAAACTTAATGTAGAAATAACAACTATTTTAGTCAATTGTGTCAGGGGTCCCCACCCACCCTGGGCCGGGGCCCTCTTTCAGGTCGCAGCCTGTTTGACACTGGGCTGTGGGAGAAATGGACAAGCACGCTTGCGTAAAGCTCCACTCACGTGAGTGGACGCTGCTTGAGCAAAGGGCGCTTATGCTCAAGCGTGAAGCTCCACTCGCATGACTGGACCTTCACACACAGGCTTGCCAATTTCTCCTGTGGCCCAATTTCAAACAGGCCACAGCCTGGGGGTTCGGGGCCCCTGGTCTATAGCAGGAATCCCCAACCCTCGAGCCATGGCCTATTTGCAAACAGGCCACATGTAAGTGGCGGGCCAGTGCACATGTGTGCGCACGGGTACACACGCAGCTCAATTTGGCTCCACTAGTTGACTCGACTCCACTAGTTCAGCTGCGTGTGCATGTGCATACACACAGGTCTGCTGCTCACATGAATTGAGCTTACGCAGCCCAGTTTCCTTCTTCATACTCCCCCCCCACAAAAAGCTGGGCTGCCAAGCCACAAAGATCGGGGACCGCTGAATTATATGATTAAATTTGCATATATTTGCATATAAAGAAGTAGTTGGGGTATTCAGAAGGGGAAGTGTTAAAAAATCAAGATGGTTGCTACAGGCTACAGGTAGTCCTTGGCTTACAACAGTTCATTTAGTGACTGTTCAAAGTTACAACAGCACTGGAAAAAGTGACTTAAAACCATTTTTCACACTTACGACCTCTGCAGCGTCCCCATGATCACGTGATCAGAAGTCAGATGCTTGGCAACTGACTCATATTTATGACAGTTGCAGTGTCCCAGGGTCATGGGATCCCCTTTTGTGACCTTCTGACAAGCAAAGTCAACGGGGAAGCCAGATTCACTTAATAATTGGGTTACTAACTTATCAATTGCAGCAATTCACTTAACAAGGGTTGCAAGAAAGGTCATAAAATGGAGCAAAACTCACTTAACAAACATCTCAGCTAGAGAAATTTTGGGCTCAATTGTAGTCATAAATTGAGGACTACCTGTATGCGATCAAAGCCTGAACCTTTCTATGTGCACCATAATATATATAAAAAGGAGAGGGCTTTGGTTCCATGGCTATGGCCACCATTTTGACTTTTTTGACACATATACCACCCCCAGACACCCCCTGGAAACAGTAGTTCTAAAGAAGAAAATGCATGACTTGTTTTTATACATTGCAACAGCAGCATCTTAAGAATAATTCCCCCATCTCTTTCTTGAGCATTCATATTTATTTGAAGATGGGTTATGCCACCTGCAGGTTTAGAGAAAAGATTTGTATGTTTAATAAGAGGCACTTTAAAAAGAAACTAAGTGAATGAACAACTTGTGTGACTTTAGAGTAAACTAAATGAAAACCACATCTCTGTATAAAGGTCTAAGACAGAGAATATTTCCATCAAAGTGAAAGTGAAAAGAATGAGAGATGAGATAGACATAATCTTGGGAGTAGTCACCTCTAAAACTTTCAATAAAACATGATGTCACCCACCCCCAGTTCCATCTGGTTCCATTGATGACTGATTAGGAAGAGTGGGAAATGGATAGCAAATTTGCAGTAGTACCCAAGGTTTTCTGATTCTCAGAAAATATGAAATGAAAAAATAAAGTTTTCTGGGTCTAGATTGGATGACTAGCATGGAGGAAAACCTGGAAAGATGCCAAAATAGGATATGCATGAACAGTGATACCTTGGTATTCAACTGTTTTGAAACTCATTGAATTTGATACCCAACATATTTTGACCTGAAAATTTTGTCCCGGTACTCTTCGTTTGTTTGGTACCCAATGCACAAGCTAGAATTTGTTGGTGTCAGCTACCTTGTGACTCACTACAGTATTCTTTATGGGAAAAATTTATTTGGTACTCATTGCATCTTCAGGAACTAATTAACAATGAGTACCAAGGTACCACTTTACCTGAAAGATGAGCTCAGCTAAAACAAATTTCTTTGTGCTAAGAGGCAACCTTGTTCCTTAATCCTAAATCAACTTGCTATGTTCATTAATTTGTCTCAGGTCAATAGATCTTGGGGATACGTAAAAACAAAGTGAATTCCTTAGATATGAAATCTGATCTACACAGATCGTAGGTATTCTTGCATTAAATCCAGTGCATCTTCCTTCTCCCTCACAGGTGCAAACATTTAGAGAAGAAATCAGTGATCTGCACCCACAACTTCACAGCCAGAAACAGCAATGAACTGTCAGTGCTTCAAGGAGACATATTAGAGGTGAATTTATGACCCAGAGTTTCAGCCATGCCAAAAAGAACAGTATAATCTTTAATATAAAGAAGATGATTGCATTTGGGAATCCCAAAATTTGGAAATACATCGTTTGCCAACCTGAAATTTTAACATGAAAATCGGCTGGGTGATTGTGGTTGTGGTGGGAAAAATAGGAGGAGAAGAGTATTATGCATGTTCACTACCTTGAGTTACTCAAGAATTACTTATAAAGTATTTATTTCTTAGTGTATGGTATGAAATACATGGATAGCAGCAGTAAAGATGTATGGAAAAAAGCAAAAAATAATATGATACATATAAGAGGAAGATGCGTAGTCAATTTTGTAAGTTATAAGAAAGTCAAGAAATTATATATTCAATTACAAATATATATTTTATTTTAAAATATGTTAATTCATATAAAATACGTTGGTTCATAAAGTAAAATGAATATTCTATATATTAATATATTCTATATATTTTATATTAATACTATTATATACATACAGACACACACACACAAATACACTTGCAGGTAGTCCTTGACTTAGCACCACAACTGAGTGCAAAATTTCTGTTGCTAAGTGAGACAGTTATTAAGTGAATTTTGCTCCATTTTACCAATTTTCTTGACACATTTGTAAAGTGAAACATTGCAGTGGTTAAGTTAGTAACACGGTTGTTAAGTGAATCTGGCTTCCCCATTGACTTTGCTTGTCAGAAGGCCACAAAAGGGGATCACATGACCCTGGAGACACTGCAACCGTCATAAGTATGAGTCAGTTGCCAAGTGGCTGAATTTTCATCACATGAAAATAAATATGAAAAATGCTTATGTCACTTTTTTCAGTGCCGTAGTAACTTAGTTACCACTTAGTCAACTGTTGTAAGTTGAAGACTACTTGTATTTAGGCCATTTATCCAATTAAGCACAATATTTCTTAACTGGAAGAAATCCACTTTTCTTCCTGTATAAGCTCTATTTTATTACTTATAAAGTAATAAAGGTGGGATAAAAGACAAGCAAGCAAACAAATAAATAGATACAGAACTTCTGCAAAGTTAGCAACATCCTCTAGCTAAATAATTGTGAAGTGCTTGCACATGTGAAATCATGATACTTTCTTCGGTAGAGGCGATGGGCCTCTATGTGAAAAGTATAACTATGCATAAACAGGCAGTTTACTAAACAAATTGTGGACTGCTAGCAGGAATGGAATTATTTATGAGGCTGAATTAGGACAGTTGTGAGTATCACAAAAACTGGTTGGAATGTTGTCTCTGCTTATATGGTAATATTTTCTTTGTTGATAGGTTCTCGATGATAGTAAGAAGTGGTGGAAAGTCAAGAATTGTTATGGTCAAGCTGGTTACGTCCCTTATAATATTCTTGCTCCAATGCTGAATGGAGATCATTCCAGTATCCAGAATGACAAGGAAATACTAATAATCCATGAAATCACTCCTATAATAACGAAGGTGAGTTAGGACCAGTCCACGGCATGCCAGAAACCAGGCTGTGCAAACAAGTGAAGCAGGTAGCACGTGAAACCACGCTTCCTTTGGTCTACGGAAAAAACACTCTCCACGGAATCTGTCCCTGGTGCCCGAAAGATTGCGGGCCACTGAGTTAGACTACGTGAATTAGGGCTTTGTTTATTTATTTATGTTTTTTAACATTCAGTATCTAATGGGATTTAAAATTAAAAACCAATATTTTAAAAACAGCAAACAACTGAACCAGCAAAGGAATCAATCCAAACATCAGGGAAAAAAACCCCTAATGACATGTATTTATTAATTTGATCTATTTATATGGCCAACTGGCTCACAGATCAGGACTCTGGAGGGCATACGATACAAAAAGTGATCGGGTAGAATAGCCTTCACTTTTCTTAACCTTCTCCGGATATGTTAAGTTATAACTTGATGATCTGCACTTGACACAGGTAGTCCTCAACTTATTATCACAGTTGGGACTAGAATTGCCATTTCTTCCTGAGGTGATTGTTAAGAAAATCACATTCAGCTTTACAGACTTTTTTGTCACAATTAAACGCATCACTATAGTTGTTGAGTGAATCACACAGTTATTAAATGAATCAGGCTTCCTCTATTGACTTTGCTTGTCAGAAGCCAGCTGGGAAGGTCACAAATGGTGATTACAGGACCATAAATGGTCATAAATACATGTTGATTGCCAAATGACTGAATTTTGATCACGGGATACAAAGAACATCGTACAAGTTTTGCTGGTAACGAGGTACCAGATGATGAATATCAGGCTCTGGAAGTTTTGCTACGAAACATTAGAAACAACGAGGAAATCAAAGGCCTAAAAATTAGAAAAGAGATTTATAAAACGCAAGCCTTTGCGGATGACGTGGCGTTAATATTAGAAGATCCATTAATATCTGGACAAAAAGTATTAGAGGAATTGGGTAAATATGGAGAGGTGGCAGGCTTCAAATTGAACAAATCTAAAACCAAAATACTTACTAAGAATGTAACTGAGATGCAGAAGAAAGAGATAGAAGAAACCTTGGGCTTACAAGTTGTCCCAAAAATAAAATACTTAGGAATTTGGCTAACCAAAAGGTGCTCATCTCTAAAAAAAGATAATTATACTCCATTAATTAATAAATTAAAACAAGATCTGGATAGATGGAAAAAGATCAAATTATCACTTATTGGCAAAATTGCGGCAATTAAGATGAGCATCCTCCCCAAGATCTTATTTTTATATCAAAATTTACCAGTAATTTTAAAGAAATTTTTTTTTCCAGAATTAAATAAGACCGTTAGGGAATTTGTTTGGGAGGGAAAAAAATCAAGGATCTCACTTAAAATTCTACAAGAAAAAAGGAATGTGGGAGGATTTGGACTCCCCAATTGGGAAATGTATTACAGAGCAGCAAAGTTGATATGGATAAAGGATTGGATCACCTTGGAGAATAAGAGAATCTTAGTGTTAGAAGGACATGACCTACAGAAAGGGTGGCATGCATATCTATGGGACAAAGACAATAAAAAGAAAACCTACTTCCACAGGCATAAAATTAGAGACTCCCTAATACAAACGTGGGTGGGAATTAGGCAGAGATACTATTCAAAAGTCCCAAACTGGCTTTCCACGGTAGAGGCAATGATTTACCCCAACAGGTGGGGAATGGAGAAATTGTGCAGATACAAAGATATTGTCAATGGAGGGGGAAATATTAAATCAAATGAAGCCCTGAGAGATCAAGGTATAATCTTAGATTGGTGGACTTATCTGCAAATAAAATCAAGATACCAGAAAGATAAAGAAGAGTATGGCCTAGAATTAGGATATAAGGGATTAGACAAAATTTTGATGGGACCAGGGAAAAAAGCGTCGGCCAAGCTGTATAACTATTTATTAGAGGAAGACAGAGATGAGGATATAATTAGAAATCAATTGAGAGCATGGGAGAGAAATATTGGACACAGTTTGAATTTTAATGAATGGGAAGAAGCCTGGAATAAAAATTATAAATTAACTAGAGCAGCCACATATAAGGAAAATCACTACAAAATGCTTCATAGGTGGCATTTAGCACCTGCAAGACTAGCAAAGATGTTCCCCAATGCGCAGCCAAATTGTTGGAAATGTGGCCATGGTCATGGCACCTTCTTTCATACGTGGTGGACATGCCCCGAAGCAAAAAAGTACTGGAGTAAAATTCGGAGATGGTTGAAAGACATACTTAAAGAAGACATTGATCTGAATCCAGAAATATTTCTCCTGGGAATGGTAAAGAAAGGGTACGGAAAGGAAAAGGTCCACCTCCTAATACACATAACTACAGCTGCCAGACTAGCATACGCTCAATACTGGAAAAAGAAAGACCTACCACCAGATGACCTTATAATTAACAAAATATTAGAGTGTGCAGAGATAAGTAAATTAACTCACGAGATAAATGACGATGAAAATTCTGACTATGATACTGTGTGGGGAAGATGGTACGAATGGATAGATGATAGAATTAAGGAAGAAATAAAAGGTGCAGAAATTAATTAGAAATGTATAGTACAAATGACACCAGATACTTATTCATGTATATATGTATAAACACTGCGAATCCGATGTTAAACAGAATTGTTATTATATTTTATTTGTATAAAAAAAAAATCAATAAAATTGTATTAAAAAAAAAAAGAATATCAGGCAAGAGAAGCAGAATGGAGAATAGAGAGGAAGGTAAGGCTAGTGAAAGGGATTACTTCATGTGACAATATGGTTTTGCAAGTCCTACCTGTATCTCTGAATATAAGAACCTGAGGACATGAAATGGAATATGCTTAGGCAGGGGTCCCCAACCCGTTGGCCATGCCCCGGAACCGGATCATGGCCCATTCAGAACTGGACCACGGAAGCAGCAAGCGAGCCTGAAGGTCCATTTACATGAACAGATCATGTACAAAACTCCATTTGTGTGAGTGGCACAAATGGAACTGTGTGTACACGTATATGCGCACCCATCGCTCACACGGAACAACCCTTCTTTCCCCCCCACACCGTTCCACCAAGCTGGAAAGTTTGCAGACCACTGTGCTTAGGGATATCCTGGGAGAATCTATTGGCAATTATTAGAAACCAAATACTGGATTAGATGATCTTTGGGGGATCCAACATTGCAGCATAGAGAGAGACTTGATAAAGCCTGGTGAGATTTAGGGAAAGCAATCAAAGCTTTCTCCTTTTGAGTTCTAGTATGAGGATCCCCAACCTTTTCGATTCTGCAGACCAGCGGTGGCAGTGGTGGCGGCAACGTAGGCGGTTTCAGTGGCAGCAGGGGGGGAGGTAATGGTTTCATGTGTGCAACCTAAATCCTGTTCATGCACAAATGAAGCTACACATGCTCACCTTCCACTTCAGCCTGGTAGCGGTCTGCAGCCCAGGGATTTGCAACCCCTGTTCTAGAAAACGCTGAAATATCAAAGATGGATGAGGATGGAATCAGATCTGTATTCCACATGCATGACTTTACTTAAAAGTGCTGAAAATGGAAAACCAGCAGACAAAAACTTCACTTGTTAAAAAGTCCAACTGTATATATAAGGATCCAAATGAATCGGGATTTTACATATTAAAACCCAGATATTATAGACAACTAATTGCTTGTAGATAATTAATGTAGCCTTATCACCATGATTTCTTGAGACCTGTCTCCCAATCAGAAATAGACTTTTGCCACTTGTTGTCCTCCCTTTCTTTCTCCGCATAGATACCACCACCTCAGCCACCAGCCAAGACCAAAACTCTACAGTCCAATGGTGTAAAATGGGCCAGCATGGAGGACCTTAACATGGACCACAGCAAGAAAGGTGAGACCTCTCTTTCATTTGGAATTGAAGAGCCAGCAAACAAGCAATTCTTCTTTTTGTTTTGGCTAAGCTCATGGCCAAATGATAGGTGACAAATCTCAGGTTGATCTCCGGCCTAGTAAGAGCACAAGACTGATATTATATTAGATGGAGTTGACTTGTCTACTAAAATATCTTTTGGACAATCCGAACTCTGGGTCTAAGGACAGCGATGGAGACCTTGTGGTCCTTCAGAAGTTACTGAATTACATTCCAGTCATCTCCCTCACCAATGTTCATGGTTGACTACTATTATTGAATAGCTCAGTAGCATTTAGAAACCACATGTTCTCCATCCTTGCTCTAGAGGAAAGCAATATGGTCTATATATGTTCAAACAACTAAACTAGCTTCTCAATGGTTTCCTAACATGTTTGATCATGTGATATTAGAAGGAAAGTATAAAAATATCCTTTTTGCAGAGCGAACCTGCTCCTGTCACCTTTAAAACTTGAAACTTTATGAGGGTGATGGTTCATTCTCCGAGCTTGTGGATTGGTTTACGAACATTTCGTTACCAGGCTAGGTAAGATCTCCAGCGGAGTTTAGGGGATGTCAATGTTCTTCTGTTTATAAGAGTCAGCTCTTATGATGGGTCACGTGTGGATGTGTCAAGTGAGGGTCTTGTGATGGATCTTGCAAACTGCAAATCATCAGCCACCCTACCACCCAGCACACTTGTGAGTTTATTGAAGCCTGGCACTCCACAAGCAATTCCATTAACAGACACATGGACCTACAACCAGCCTACAAACCCCTCAGAATCCAAATCAACCGCATAGCCACCCAAAGACAACACTGACCCTCAATTAACCCACGCAAGGCCACCCCACAACTAGCACTTCACCTCCCAATGACCCTCACCTGATGTAACCTCCCCATCACAAGACCCTCACTTGACACACTTGACCTATCATGAAGCCCTTATAAATAGAAGAACACCGACATCCGCTAAACTCTGCTGAAGATGTTACCTAGCCTGGTAATAAAACATTCAGAAACCAACCCATAAGCTCAGAGAATGAACCTTCACCCTCATCTTAATATCCGAGCTACAGATATTCGCCACTATTGAGACTTTATCCCATGTCCTTTCTACAGCACTTAGCACCCTACCCTCATAACTCCACTTGCTAACTGAAGAACTACTGTGTTTCCCTGAAAATAAGACCCTGTCTTATATTTTTTTGAACCCTGAAATAAGCACTTGGCTTTATTGCCATGCGCTCAAAAGCCCGATTGGGCTTATTATGTCTTATTTTGAGGGAAACAGGGTACTTGCTCTGACAATGATCTCATTTTCTTTTTACCTCCTGGTTGCTTCTTTCAATTAAAGAAGTTATTTCAATTAAACCACTTGCTGGTTTGCTTTCCCAGAGGTACTCTCTGTTAATGATACAGCAAATAACATTACCTAAATCCCTGGGATGAGGTCCCTGAAAAGAATGAACCTGGTTTTCCCAATCCTTGGTACAATCTGTTGTAGATAATCCAATATTCTAGATGTCTGTGCTTCAACATTCGGAATTCTCAGATATTATCGTGATGCTGGCTGATGATATGAGTTGTTAACCATTAGATGCCCAGATCCAGGAAGGCTGCAGTTATGTTCTCGTGCTAATGGAAAGTACAGATAGTCCTTGACTTATGATCACAATTGAGCCCAAAATTTATGTTGCTGAATGAGACTTTTGTTAAGTGGGTTTCACCCCATTTTACGACCTTTCTTGGCACAACTGTTCAATTAATCATTGCAGTTGTTAAGTTAGTAACACGATTGTTAAGTGAATTTGGCTTCCCCATTGACTTTGCTTGTCAGAAGGTCACTGATCACATGACACTGCAGAAATCACAAATATAAACCAGTTGCCAAGTGTCTAAATTTTGATCACATGACTAAGGGGATGCTGCAACTGTCCTAATTGTGGAAAACCTTTTTTCAGTGGTGTTGTAATTTTGAATGGTCACTAAACGAACTGTTGTAAGTCAAGGACTACCTATACCCTTTTCCACATTATTTGAAGTATTGGAGAGATCAAATCCATAATCTAATCCTGCAAAATTCTAAATAACCTACAGCATATTCATTTATAGCAGGATACTATAGAAGGGATATGGCTACCTCTTGAATTAAGGGCTACAAATGGAAAGGGGAAAAATTGGGCAATCCACCTCTCTTCCTTCTTCCTCCCCCTTCATCCCACCCATCCAGATCTGTGTGTTCCAAGAATGGGGGCATCCGTTTTCAGAAGTGAATGTTTTGAAACAAAAAGTGGTATGTTTTCTTCTGGGCATCTTCTTCTTCCTAGCATATTCCTGCAGATGCAGGGTCTGCTTTTTGGATCACTGAACGCCACTTTGAGTGATCAGCTGGATCTCCAGGGTGCAGGCCCATGGCTTGCATGTCCTTGTTTATGATGTCTGTTTTGGACGCCCGCGAGGTCACTGCCACTGACTTCTAGTTTGAACGCTGTCTTGGCAACAGTAGAAGGTGCTGCTCTCTGGACATATACATACCAGCGGAGCCAGCCTTCTCTCATCTTCTTTGTAATTGGTGCCACATCAAAATGCTGTCAAATGATGTCATTTGTGATATTTTCTTCTGGGCATGATCTTCTCCAAAGTATATAAATGACTCTGGAATACCTGCACACCTGGAAGAAAAACACAAAGTTCTTGGAAGAGAACATATAGTTCTTGCCTTACCCACATACAAGGACAAATCCTTTGCTTCTCCATGCTTGTTTTCTTCCAATGAATCCATGAGTGACATTTATTTCTGCTCTGGTAGATAACTTCACCATGGTCAATGAGGAGCTCGTCCTGAAGCTGGCCAACGGGACAAGTGGCGGTAGTAAGACTCTTCACATCCCACGTACTCTGGATACTGATGTGCCTTTAGACTACAATTCAAATTCTGATCAAGTCCGAACCTGGTTGGAGGCCAAAGGGTTCAATCCATTGTGAGTTGGCTTGTGCTTCTCTTTGAAAAAAATACATGGGTTGGTAATGGAATCCAGGCATATATTTCCTGATATTTCTCTCTTTAAATCATATTATTGTATTTTTCAGAGTATAAGACGCACCTTTTACCCCCAAAAAAGAGGGTGAACATCTGGATGCGTCTTATACTCCAAATGTAGCCCCACCCAGCTTCTCAAACGGAGGTTTCAGAGGCTGAAAAAAGCATTAGAAAAGAAGCTTCAGAAAAGAAGCCCCCAAACAGCTTCAGAGGCTTTTTTTCTGAAGCTTTGTCTCAGAGGCTTTCAGAGGCAGAAAAAAAAGTTTTTTCTGAAATGGAGTTCCAGAAGCAGAAAAAAAAAGCAAAAAAAAAAAAAAAAGCAAGAAACAGAGCTCACAACCAAGGAACCTGTTGCTAAAATTCACCTCTGGGAACAGCTGATTGCGGGTATTTCTGGAGGCCCATCCATCTGCCAATCAGCTTTTTTCTTATTTTCCTCCCCAAAAATTAAGGTGTGTCTTATACTCCGGTGCATTTTATACTCCAAAAAATACGGTAGATTCTAGATCAGAGATGCCATGCATGTCAACACTCTCTGTAGTTGACAAACTACTAATCTTTCATTGAATGACTTCTCAATTGCCAATATAGGGGAGCAGCAACAGCTTTCCTGAATTAGTTGATAGGCTTCTAAAATTTGCCGCTGAACTATGATTAACTATGGATTTTAGGTTTATACGTAATAGATGGTAACTAAAGCTAAGAGTAAAACTGTGTTAAATAAGATTCCTGTTTGATTGGGGCGGGAGGAGGAGTCTCTCATTGGCTAACACCAGTCAATGTAGACATAGCAACTATCTGATTGGCTGTTGCTTACCCAATGGCGAAGGAGGTGTGGTTGCTCAGTGACCTAATCACGTCAGAGATAGTCTTTGCTCCAGTGGTTCGAGTCCTAGCACTGCATGGCAGGGTGAGCTCCCATCACTCAGCTCAGCTTCAGGCCACCTGGCAATTCAAAAACATGTTCTATGCAAGCAGATAAATAGATCCCACTTTGGTGGGGAGTTGAGCTTCATGCAGTTAGAATCCTGCTGGCACTGGATCTGCCCAATTGCAATGCACATTTGTCAGGTGAATTTGGTGGAAAGAGAGGGCCCCTAATGAAGCTGAAGAAAAGTGATTCGTTTTTCTTTCTGGTGTAGAGTTAGCTCACCCCCTGTGGCGCATCTTGGAAAATATATGAGCGTGAATTAAGGAGGGCTAGCAATCTTAGGTAAACAAACTATTACTCTGCATTAGAATTGTGGTCTCCTAGCTAATGTAACTTCACCTTATGCTAAGTAAATAAATTAAACCCAATGGGGATTTTTTTTTTATTGGTGCTTTAGACATTCTGCTACTATTTGGTCAAAAGAGCTGCCAAAGTGTGACCTAGTTAGAGGTCACTTTCAAATTGGCTTCAGAGTTTAAATGGAATGACTCCTTTTTCTTATGATGCTCTATTTATTCCACCTACTGTTTTCCCTCCTTCCTGTAGGATTGTCAATGCCTTGGGAATTCTGAATGGCGCTCAGCTCCTTTCCTTGCAAAAGGATGAGTTGAGAGCTATCAATCCAGAAGATGGCCCTCGAGTCTACAGCCAGGTTACCATCCAGAAAGCCCTCCTAAAGGTACCAGGGATTTTGAAATCTCTTCTAAGGGTTGGGAGAAGGGTGAGGAACTGAGACCATTCTTGACCATTAAGAGCGCAAGAAACTAAGAAATCTAGCAAGATTCAGCAAAGATATAAGGATTTGAAGAGGAGGGATGAGAGGGATGGGACAAGCACCAAAGGATGTCAAAGTTTTAAAGAAGTAGATAACATAATAAGAGTTTTGTACTTGGAAGTCAAGCACTTCATCCTTCATTTTCTATTATTTTCTTCTAGGATTCTGGGAAAATGTCGGAGCTAGAGGCCGTGATGGCAAGACAAAAAAGAAAGGCAGAAGGATTGGACTAACAGAGCTCTCTTTTTACGTGGTGGTGTGACTTTGCGAAAGAAATGTGGACATGCCAGATCTTTCTATAGGATCAGAATCTACATTGTGTAGGGAGATCAGTGTGAAAGAATTGGTTATAATTGTTACTGTGGGTGTTTTATATTCTTGATTCGCTATAAAGAAGAGAAACCTACTGGTATCCCCAGTTTCATGGAGCAATCTTCTAGCACTCTCCCTATTCCTTAATCCTCAATTTTTTTTAAAATAAAGAAAAAAAATTATGTCCTATAGGATCTACACTATCTCCATTTTGGAACAATTTGCTTATCTCCTTGTAGAATTATCTCTCAATCTCTCAGTAGGAAAATACAAATATTATATAGTGCATGCTACCATCCATTCAATTTTAATTATTTCATTAAACATCAGCCTGGATATTGTTGAACAGATTTTTTTTTTCCAATTGTATGGTCTCGTGAACTATGCATGTAAATCTACATAAAAGCAATAATTTTATACACAGTTTATTTACAGAACATCGTAGGAATTGTAGTCAAAGTTCTGCCTGGATGTTCAATGAGTGACATTTTGAAACTCTTATGAAGCAGATCATCCTGTCTAGCCAAAATGACTCCATCTGTTTTTTTATAGGTTCCTGAGAAATAATAGCTCAGCATTAAAAAAATTAAATAATCTAAGGAAGTATGTGTCATAAAAAATGACAAATTATTATTATAAGAATTAGTTGCTTAAAATTCAGAGGCTTTTGTTGTCACAGAACAATACATTTTTTGGTCACTAGGTGGCAGTCGGCAGCCTCTATGGGCAAACCAAGCTACAAATAATTTCCCTGCAAATCAAAAAGATTTAGCCAGATTTTTAACAGCTTGTTCCTATTGTCCTAAAAGCATTTTTATGGAGAAAATGAACTGAATCAGCTGCTTTGAAGGAAAATGTGATGTTTCAACTAAAAAAAAAAAGACTTTATGATAAAATGGGGCCATTTGCCTTGAAACTTGCTGTGCTGAGATTTCATTATAGGGTATGTGTGTATTTGTGTATATGTGTGTTAGCTAACTACCGTGTTTCCCCGAAAATAAGACGCTGTCTTATATTTTTTTGAACCCTGAAATAAGCGCTTGGCCTTATTGCCATGCACTCAAAAGCCCGATTGGGCTTGTTATCAGGGGATGTCTTATTTTGGGGGAAACAAGGTATTTAATTGGTTCTTTTTGTCCAATAGTTTTCTCACAATTTGATGAACACGTGTTGAACAAAAGCACCATAATTTTGACTGCTGTGCTACAAAGGCCGTTTTTGTTAGAAGTTTCTTGAGTTCAGTTTTATCCCTAAATTTACTAGCAGTTCTCCACAAATTGTTTACTCCAAGCTGCCAGTAAGATTAATGTTTTTGTGGAGGAGAAAGATGTGGATGGTAAAAATCACTGTAAGCTGCTTTCCCATAATAAATCTAATGCAAGACATTTATTTTAAGCCTATTTATATGAAATTACTGTTAATACCCTGTTCCCCCCAAAATAAGACATCCCCTGATAATAAGCCCAAATGGGCTTTTGAGCGCATGGCAATAAGGCCAAGCGCTTATTTCAGGGTTCAAAGAAATATAAGACACGGTCTTATTTTTGGGGAAACACAGTATTTGTTTTAAAAAGATTAATTTTCAAAAATTCTTTTTTAAAAAAACTGAAATTGATTTTGACTCTAGAACAGGGTCCCTAGTTAAGTGGCCCAGTAAGCCAAATGGGTTTCTGAACAGCATGTAAATCTCCCAGGAAATAACATTTTAAACTAACATTTTTAAGGCCAGAAATTCTGTTCTCTGACTGCTTTGCAGGAGAGCATCATTACAGAAGGACTAAGAATCAATCCCAAGATCATCTATTCCTTATGGGGGCACTGGTGAATCCAATACAGATAGTCCTCTACTTACAACAGTTCATTTAGTGACCATTCAAAGTTACAACCACACTGGAAAAAAAGTGACTTATGACTATTCTTCACACTTACGACTGTTGCACCATCCCCATGGTCACATGATCAAAATTCAAATGCTTGGCAACTGATTCACACTTATGACAGTGTCCCAGAGTCACGTAATCTCTTTTTGCAACCTTCGGGCAAGCAAAATCAATGGGAAAGCCAGATTCACTTAACAACCGTGTTACTAATTTAACAGCTGGACTGATTCACTTAGCAAATGTAGCAAGACAGGTCAATAAAATGGGGCAAAACTCACTTAACAAATGTCTTGCTTAGAAACAGAAATTTTGGGCTCTATAAATTGAGGACTACATGTAAGGGATTTCAGTTTAGTTTGCACCCAGCAAATTTAGCGCAGTCCAAAAAAACCCACACAGGAGACCATCTCTCATTGGTAACTAATTAAATTTGCACATTTTATGTTTCTGATTTATTTTCTCCAAACTTCCTAAGAGGCCAACTGCTTGTTTGTTGTAGTGATGGAAATGCAGTATCTCTTATTGTTTCAGGACTTGGGGAGATTTTATGGAAGACATTGTTAATTATATTAAAATCTGTAAATAAATTTTTCGAACAATAACCTGCCTCATGATATATTTCTAGTTATGTATGCAAGCAATGAATAATATGGCAACTGATGCAAGTACACTGATCTATTCATCTCATTAGGATTTTCATTGACCATTTATTGACATACTGATGTTTTCATTTCACCCAGTAGAAATAGTCTTCTGGACTGATCTGTTTTAGTGGCAGAGTTTCAGTTGTATTCTTCCTTGTTAAACCATTATATAACTTCAACAATATACCAGTAACTTCTTGTTTCTCCTAAAACTCATTATTCATATTTATTCTATTCTTATAGATTGGGGTCCAGTTAGCATTAGAATGAGGTCAAACGATTTTAAGAAGCTAGTAGTGCATTATAGGGTTAAAAAGAATGTTAGTAGGTTGACCTCCTTCTTAGTTTTGTGGTGTGAAATGGGCTTATCAAGGTGTGATGTAGGGACATATGAAGTGAAATGAAGAGAGAAATAAAAGGAACATTAGATAAATGGCAAAAATGTTTTGCATTTACTGTAGAAGAGCAAAACATCAAAAATATTTCCACTCTTTGGTGGGATTCCACATTTTTTTCTACTGGTTCAGTTCCTGAATCAGCTTTCTATGTCAAGTCTGGTCTTCTGGGTTCTCAGGATCTTTCTCCATTCCACATGATTGATTGATGCCTTGGTCATCTGGCTTTTTATTTGAGAGCTCAGGATTGTGTCTGTAGTGTCCCAAATGTAGAACATAGAATAATCGGGCTGGAAGAGACCTTGGAGATTTTCTAGTCTAACCCCCGTTCAAGATAGGAGACCCTATAACATTCTGAAGAAAAGGTTGTCCAATCTCTTCTTAAAGACCTCCGGTGATGGAGCACAACTTCTGGAGGCAAGCCATCCCACTAAATAATTGTTCTCACTATAAGAACATTTCTCTTTAATTCTAGGTTGGATCTTTCTTTGATAATCTTCCATCTATTAATTTTTGTCCTGCTTTCAGGTGCTTTGGAGAATAGGTGGACTCCATCTTCTTTGTGACCACCCCTCAAGTTCTGGAAGACTGGCACCATCTCATCTTATTCCTTCTCTTCATTGGATTAGATTTCCCTAGTTCTTCAACATCTTTTTTGTATCATAGTAACCAGAACTGGATGTGGTGTCATCATTTTACCCTAATAGCAACACCCTTTTCAGTTTTTTTTTTTAAAGCCTCAGTGAGCTCCATGATCTAATGAGAACTTACTCTGGATTTTCTCCATGCCTGTCCAATACATCAATTGCTATTTCTGCACAGCTCCCTTCTTGCCTCCCACTGCTAGATAGAAACCACAACACTGCTTATTTGGCCTTGCTTGGAGGAAAGCAGGTCCAAGCAGCTTGTTTTGAGGAAAGTGTCTGGATTTTGCAACTTGAACATTGTGGTAAGCACTGTTTATGAAGCAGATTCTTCTAATTCCTGACAGAGAAGGCCAGACCCTTTCAGAGCGGGTCCCAGCCTGCTTTGGAGGGCGGATCCCAACATGGGCTTGGCCTACCAACTTCAACCGGCCAGGCAGAATGGAGTGGGGGAAAATGTTGACTCCGTCTTGCCTGGCATGTTGGGCCCATGGGGTCGTGATTGATCCCACGAACTCATCATAACTCAGCAATGTATGCAGAAGTTTCAAGATAAACAGTGACATGTGCTGAAGATGGAATGTGAATTCTGGTTTGACAAGGGTATTTAGGACCGGGTAAGAACTACTGAGAAGATGACTCAGTCCTGGCGAGAAATATCACTTCAGTTGCCAAATTCCAATATATTGCCACATCCACACACACACACACACACACACACACACACAAAACCCTTCAGAGATCTTCCCCTTGCTATATATTTCTCAACCAGCAGCAATCTCCATTAGGGAAGCAGCCATAGAAGATGCTGGGAATAGGGAAGGGCTGGAGGAAAACCCAGAATTTTATTATGGATTAGTCAACTGTCTTAAGTAGTTATATGGTTCCTGGGCTTTCTTTTCAATGAGTTGGCAAACCAGGAAGTAACTTTGTGGACAGCAGGCAAGAGACCCACAGGAAGACTTGGCAACCTGTTGAGCAGTCACACCCATCAGAAGATCATAAATAATTCTCAACCATCTGGAAGAAAGTACAGTACAGGTGTACTTGGTGCAGTACAACTCCATCTTTGCTTCTGTGTTATTCAACATTACAATTTATAGAAAGTGGAATAGATGAAAGTGATGTGTTCAAATTTGCAGATGATTGATTAGATTTTAAATGACAAAATCATTGAACATTTTTTTTGACTTTGAACAAAAATCCAGCATCATGATATTCAGTGGTGACCAGTGTGAATCTTCCATCTGAATAGAGGAAAAAAAACCAAATCCTGGATTAAGGAGACCTGGTGTCAACTGTCCAACTAGAGAACCCAAAACAAGGAAACACTCTCGGGGGATTTGAATTCCCAAAAGAAAAACTTTATTGGATATGCCATATTGGTACTGAAGAAACAAAAACAACTCTGTTTTTCCCACGCAAATGCTTCCCCTTCTCCCTACCCCTGATGATCACATTGTCCAATTATGAGATGTCCTTTTGTTATGGAAGAGTCCATCTCTTCCTCAAGCACCTGCAGTGGTGACCTTGATAGCTTCAAAACTCTCATGACCTCCACTGGAATTCCTGGCATTCAATTTCCCCCTTCCCTCCCCCCCCCAGTTCATTGGCAAATTGAAAAGCATTAAGGTTTGAAAGAAGCAAAGCAGTTCAATGTTGACACCTCGATTGGCAGAAGTAAATGTGAAAAGAATCTATCAGTGGTAGTGGATCATCAACTGAATATGAGCAAGCAGTGAGATGCAGCAGTTAAAGAGATCGATGCAGGATTTTTGCAATACCAATGCCATGCCCAGATAGCTAGAAGTAATTGTCCCATTGTACTCTTTGCTAGTTAGATTTGTTTTGGAGTTATGGTGGGTTCAGGACACTGCATTTTAAAAGAGACACAGAGAAGGTGAAGTGGATTCAGAGAAGTTACAACTAGGATTAAGGGGTCTAGAAACCAAGTCCCATGAGGAACAATTAAAATCCCTGGTCATATTTAACTTGAAAACTGATGAGTGGTATAATAATGAGCTACATAACTCTTTAAGAGTGTAACATACCTGGAGGGGAACAATCTGTTCTCTGTTGATACCTTAAGCTTGATAAGGACGAAGGATTAAAATGAAAAAACCAAAGATTCAGGCTGAGTATTAGGAGGAATTTAAACATGTTACAATTTCCAGAAATATTTGTAGTTTTCCCTTTAGTGGCATTTTGTAAATGGAGTCTTGGGTGACCACCAATCATGGACACTTGAGTGGATCCTTGCAAAAGTGAAAGGTTGGATTATACGACATGTGAGCTATCTATCAGACAGGCAGCTCATACATTCCATATACAAGTCTTCCCTACCTCATCTGACCACAGAAAATTAACTATTAAAGATAATTATACCAAATTTTTTTACCACTGGTTCTGTGAGTGTGGTTTGATGGGCGTGGTGTGGCTTGGTGGGCATGGCTTGGTGGGCGTGGCAGGGGAAGGATACTGCAAAATCCCCATTCCTTCCCCACTCCTGGGGGAAGGATATTGCAAAATCTCCATTCCCACCCCACTCTGGGGCCAGCCAGAGGTGGTATTTTCCTGTTCTCCAAACTGCTCAAAATTTCCACTATTGGTTTTCCAGAACCTGTCAGAACCTGCTGGATTTCACCCTTGTGATGGTCTTATCTTTAACACATCTGTTTTCTACAGAGAGGGATTTTTTATTATTTGTAGGAAGCAGCTTTCAATCATGTAAATCCGTATCCATACTTCAGAAAGATCCAGATACAAGTTGATCATCTCAGTTGGGAAGAATTACGATAGGTAACCAAGATCACAAAAAAGCAGCAGCTGTGAAAAGCTTAGGAGGAGGAATTTTTCTGTCCTGGGCTGCTACCCCTCTAAATTATATCTTTGTGAAATGAAACTCCCTCTCCATCCATTAAAATTGGAGAACAACATCCGGTGCAGAATTATGAATTTATTCAATGGTGCCCTATTACCAAGCTCACATCTGCTACTGAAATAGTTTTTTTAATACCAGTTTAGACAAACCACTAATCAAGCACTGAGGTTTTTCCTGGTTCCCAGAGTTAATCAATCAGAATAGAGCTGGAAGTGACCCTGGAGGTCTTCTAGTCCAACCCCGTTCAAGCAGGAGACCCTATACCATTTCAGGCAAGTGACTATCCAATCCCTTCTTAAAAACCTCCAGTGATGAAGCATCCACAACTTCTGATGGCAAGCTGTTTCATTGGTTAATTGTCCTCACTATTAGGAAGTTTCTCCTTAATTCCAGGTTGCTTCTCTCCTTGATTAGTTTCCATCCATTGTTTCTTGTCCTGCCCTCTGGTGCTTTGGAAAATAAATTGACCCCCTCCTCTTTGTGGCAGCCTCTCAAATACTGAAATACTGCTATCATGTCCACACTAGTCCTTCTCTTCTCTAAATTAGCCAAACCCAAATCCCGCAACTGTTCTTCATATGTTTTAATCTCCAGGCCTTTAATCATCTTAGTTGCTCTTCTTTGCACTTTTTCCAAAGTCTCAACATCTTTTTTGTAGTGTGGTGACCAAAACTGGATGCAGTATTCCAGGTGTGGCCTTACTAAGGCTTTATAAAGCGGTACTACTAATACTTCATGTGATTGAATTCTTGATTCTATGCTTCTGTTTATACAACCAAGGATTATATTAACTTTTTTGGCTGCTGCCGCACACTTCTGGCTCAGTTCGCTACAGAGGGATATAGATTTTATTATATGTGTGGACGTTTACCCACGCACGTATTGTTTTTTGAGTATGAGCCATAGCTCAGTGTTAGTATGAGCTCCTACTATTCCAAGTAGGGCTGAAATTTTAAAAACAAGGATAGTAGACAATAGAATTAGACAGAATGATCTGATGTAATAGAAGATTGCTCCTTTTTTCTTCACAATCTCTAC